TGTGATATGAAGAAAACAGAGCCTCTCAGGCCTATCTCACATGACCTGTTTTAAAAGCTAAGAGATAATATGTTTGAAAATGCTTTGAAATTTTTTTTTAAAGTGCTCTCAATATAAATATAGCATAGCATTGTTATGGTAGTCAGATATCAGTGAGGTACCTTTAAATGAGGACACTGTGAGCTGAATAAGAATTAGCTGAAGTGGTGGTGGTGGGGTGGGGTGGAGGGTGCGACATTTCTGAGAGGTATGAAATAAGATGATAAATTTGAGTTACTGTAAGTAATGCAGCATGGCAAGAGTGTTGGATGTCAATGGAGGAGCATCAGGAGATAGGGTGGGGAAGTATTATGGATGTGCTTGAATGCTTAGTTAAAAGTTATGGAGGATTATTTAGAGATTTAAAATGGGGAGTAACATAAAATTTGCATTTCCAGAAGTTTATTCTGGTATCTTTGTAGATGACAGGTATGGTGGGAGGGGGTGTGTGGCTAGACTTAGGGAGACTCTTGAGGAGGTTGTTGCACTTAACAAAGATTAGAACTAAGGACTTGGCATACCGTGAATGTAGAAAGGAAAGGATAGATATGTAAGATGCTAGTGAGATGGAATCCATGGAACTTAACATTCTGATTAAATGTGGGTGGTAGAAGGCATTTACTCAAAGAGAAAAATTTGTAGTCATTGTAGGGCCTCTAACTTAGATGGGTTTCCTACCTTTCACTGTGATAGAGACCAGAATGAATTTAAAGAGGATAAATTTGATTTGGGGAATGTTAAATTTGAGGTGTTTATGGTATATGAGAACAAATGTTTTATTTTCAGTTGGATAAAAGGAGAGAGAATTTGGGACTTGTCTCTGTGGCAGTAAAAGCAGCTTTGGGTTTAAATCAGATCACCTGGGCACAGGACCAGGTCTCTAGTTACACTGTATTCTAAAAATGTACTCCTTGAGAAATACATGGTTCCCCAGAAACAAGGCTACACCTGGCCCTTTGAGTCATAGTCTGGTCCTTGCAGTCAACCACAAATCTGAGTGTTCTCTTCAGAGTCTGTCCTAAGGATCCCCTGGACATGTACTATAAAGACACCAACCAGTTCTTTACTCTTCCCATCCATAACACTTCAAACATTTTTTATTATTTTAAAACAAGACTGTCAATTTATCCAAGTACATGTTTAATCTAAGAGAGTCACAGTAATAGCAGTCAGTATTTTTGTTTTTCTAACTTGGAGTTTATAATAAATCGGTTATCAAGTGCTTTTCATTATTTATCCTCATGAAACCTGTATGCTAACATAACATAATAAATTCTACTAATTGTAGTAGCATACCTGAAAACCCCTCCTGGTATTTAAAGTCAATTATTTTAATGTATTTACTTGGCAGCTTTGTTGGGAATCTTAGCCTTCCTCAAGCCATATCTTGAATTTTGAGTTCCCTCCCATTCTGCCTACTCCCTCCCTTCTGCCAGGTTATTGGGCTTGAGAAGTTCTGAGCCATGCTCTAAATTCTCCCCATATGGCACTGTAGCCTAGCTTCTTGATTTACTCTTGTTTCAAGTTCCTCTGACCCAATTGGCCACTTTTTCTTTCTGTTACTGGCAGTTTTGTGACAAAGCTGCCTGTTGCCATTGGGAGGTCAGGTGGCGTGTGGACATAGGACCGCAGGGACAGAATCAATGCTAGCAGCACTGCAAGGGCTACTGTGATGGATAGGGTTGCTGCAGTAGCTCCCATAGATATTATTTTAGAATAGCAATTGCCCATCATATATGGGTCTTTCAAAATTCAAGGACTGCCAGCCGCCTGTAATTTGTGGGCATACTCAAACATTTTTATGACCGCACCTAAATGTGAAGGGGGAGAAAGATATTGAATTGATTCCTACAGACATTTAAAAGGAGTGTAGATAAATGTCAATAGTAGTCTGGCTAAAGATAATGAAAAGCCTATCTTTTTTAAGGACGCCTCAGCATAGTGCCTGATTTTTTTTTACAAGTGGCCCTTCGTTTAGACCTGCGAACACTAACCTCTTACTCTCAATGCTCTTTTAAAATCATTTCAAGGGTAATCACAGATATCTGAGAACATCTTTTAGCTTCACAGATAAATATACATTTGAGGTGCAGTATAATGCCAGTGCCTAAAGTATATAAGAAATGAGACCGAAACTCGGTAATTATTTATTGAACAGGGGTGTTTTAGTGATAAGCAGCATTTGGTTCTTTGTTTTTGTGCCAAAGGAAAGAAGGTAGTTCCCAGACGTTTAATTTAAATTCTAAGCCTATGTAGAAATCCACATGCCAGCCGGAAAATAGAATTCCTGTTAGATCTTTATAAATTGTAAATCAGATGTATATGAGAAACCCAGATTATATTTATTCCTTTCATTTCTCTGACAATAGCATTAAAAAAATACTATTCCCAAATTCTTGATTCACCTTAGTATAACTATTCTCCTAATTCCTTGGGTTGTAATCTGTAGAAAGTCTTATCAGAGTACAAGAATTTTATCTTGTTTTCTTTTTTTTTCACCTTGCCCGTGACATTCAGCCCTGATGTTGAACCATTCTTTCAGTTATATTTAAATTGAGACATGCATGGGTGATTTGCAGTTAACTGCGCACCTCCACACACTCAAATGCCTCCGTGTCACATCTAATCATGATTCATGCCTTCTGCCACATACTCTTGCTCTCATTCCTGCACCAACAGATGGTGGGAGAAGACCCCTGGGGCACTGTGCCCCAGCATTCCAAGGTTGTACATCTTCTGGTAGCAATGGTCAGAAAAGGAAGGATTTTAATATGGCAAATTGGGTTCAGTTATTTTTGGGTTCTTGTTTTTTAAAAAAATTAATTAATGGAAATTTGGTGTCAGAGCTTCAGGTGGTACCGAGAAACTTATTTTTTAGTCCGTGAAACAAAATAAAAGCCAAAAGGCACATTATGTTTTATAAAGGGGCTTGCTGAAAAGGCTGCTGTGTTTATGTCCCATCATAGTACATTATGTTTGTAATAATCTGAATCCTAAGAGATATAGTAAGTGACAGCATACAAAAGGACAGGTTTCATCTATTTAAGCTTAAGTAAGTTTTCTGTTCTAAAAAATAACACCGGTGGTTACCAGATGACACACATATTGATTTGGTAGTTGAGTAGATTCTGAAGTTGCCATTTATGCTCTCTGGTTAGTATGATTGGTGACGTTAGGCAAATTTACTTCATCTTTCTAGGCTTCTATTTCTTCACCTAATAAATAAGATTGTTTTAAATTATCTCCAAAATATCCATTTTGTTATAGTACATAAAATGTAAGAAGCTACAATAGTACTAGTTATACGAAAATGAACAAGGCTTATTTAGGAAGAGGAAATGCATGGATGAAGTTTCAGCATTGATAATCTTGGTTATTTGATCTGTAGTATTAATGTCATGGATAAACATATATACACACACATACATACACACATATATAAACTAATTGCAAATGACTTTTTTAAAATAATAAATCCATGGAAGTATAGGTTTCCATATAATTTTCTATTGCGTCCACCATTTGACAACTCTAGATTCTTCTGACAACCTTAAGAGTGTTATGGTTCTTTAACCCAGAATCCTGGGTAGTCAAGCGGTACACAGAACAGTGGTTTTGAATTTTTTTTTTTTACCAGAGCCTATGATTAGAAATAATTTTACATATAGCAGGCATATACATACAGTTACACATGCACGTGCATTCATATAATTCAAATAACATTTCACTAACTGTGTTTTATCTTACTATGGGCAAAATTTTTTCTATTCTTTTGTTGTTGCAGGTGTTGTTAATTCCACTTCTCTTTACAAGAAATTGCTGGTCCTTGTTCACCAGTCCATTTCAGAGTTCCTAATGGATTGGGACCCACAGTTGGAAAAGCAGTGCACTGATCAGCACTTACTAAAGAAATACATTATTTTTTGTAGACTTTCTCAGATTATTCTATTAATAATGATTTTCCTAATCTCTTGATCACATCAGCTATTATTTACTTAACAAGATATCTTTAGAGTTCTCTCTTATTTGTATCTATATCCAAAGGATGTAAAAGATATAGAGAAACAATACATAGAAACAAATTGAAATAGAATATTTAATGAGCCAGTCTATCTTTAAACACATGCAATTCCTCTTCAGTGCCAAATAATCATTTTAAGTTTTATTTCCTTGTGCTTTTCTTTATTTGCATCATCATTCCTGGTGTTTTTATATTTTTTTTATTTTAATAGGTCATACTTTTCATAACAGATATGTGAAGTAGCTGGGTTTCATTGGAAGTTTCTTTATTTGTATTTTAAAAAGAAGGAAAGGAAAGAAGTAGGAGCCTTTTGAATTTCTGTGTCACCAAATCGAGTTCTGAATACCATGGCCGTATTGCTGTTTACTATTTCTCTTCATTAGTGGTGGTTTGAACAGCTGTATGAAAAACATAGTAATCATATGGAACTGTATACTTTCTTTTATCACTCCATATAAAATGATATAAGGTGAGCTTTTGCCCATTTAATTGCCATTTATTTTTTTAAATTGTGATAGCATGTAGGAAACCATAATTTCTACACACACACACACACACACACACACACACACACACACACACACACACGCCATTATAGAATTCAGAAGGGAAGGAGAAAAAAAAGCATTCCACTCTGAATAGACAGTGTTGGAACTAACAATGAAAAGTAAGTTTGGTATATGAATGGTATATTCAAAAGGGTTCCTTTATAATCTGACTGGAGATAGACACAAGATTGCATTACAGAGTGCTTTGTGCAGATAACTCAAAAGCAGCTGTGGAACTGAAGGTAATTTTATGTAAATACATACATTTGAATGTATACTGGGCAAATTCCTATTATGGATGGTGAAAATTCTTGAAGAATGTATTATATATAAAGTTGTCAGTGTTAGTTTTGAAGATTTTCATTGAAGCTCTTTGTATGGATCTCTTTCAGATTTGGAAACAAGTGAAAAAATCCAAGGAAGTGGAATACTTCAACTGTTTGCCAGTCTGTTGATTCCACAGTCTCCGTGCACAGCCAAAGTAGCTAACGTCATAGCAGAAGTAGCCAAAAATGGTGAGGTTTTCCTCAAGAACTTTTCTGCTGGGAACATCTTCAGTTTTACACCTTACTTGTCAGTATGTTTTATTAATTTATGTTTTAATTTTGTAGATTAGACATTTTTTATTTTTTCTATTTCTCTTTTCTTTGACCTTTTCCATGTAATTGTTTAAAATGACTATGATTGTAGTCATTCTGTTCATACAGTTCTCATTTGCTATTCCATTCCTTCAGGGTAGAATGAAAGGAAAGCGCTGCTAGTTCTTGTGGCACCTGTATGGTTTATTACTTTGGTTACAGGACTGTTGAGCTTGCCACTGAGTCATTCATCTTACTGTCTCAGGAGAACTTACCTTTGTCAGTGTATATATTGATTTGTGTTATACCCAGGTATGCTATTTATTTGTAGTCGGGCAATCCTACTGACATTGGCACTTGACTGCAACAGAGCAGTTGGACTGTGTGTTCTGTTTTCTGTCTTCACATTTTTCAAGTTTCCATGTAAGAATAGTCTGGAAAAACAACGATGACAGCAGAGCTTAGATGATGTGATAGTTAACCCACCCCGTTACATGGAGGTTCTATCTAATGAGAGATTCTTTGGAAGAATTCTATTGTAGAAATATTTGCCCATGATTTTAATTCAGCCAGTTTGAGAAATCCTTCTTTAGCAGTTTTTAAACATAAGGGAAGACCATACTGAATGTAATACCTTTAGCGTGCCTCAGTTTATCTGTTGATATTATTTTTAGGCCTTTTATTTTAGTAAGTTACAAATGTCATACCTTAAAGAGAAGAAATTTTAAAGTTCGGGCCTCATTTGTATCATCATTATGGCAGGTGGCATGGTAAAGTACCAGTAAAAGAACTTGTTCGTATGTGTGTTACCAAAAAGGAAATTGCCATGAAATTTTTCCATTTGTTTAGAGGTTCTCAAAATGCTTTTCAGGTATCAATGAGGTTTTCTATATTGGTAAATCATTGTTTGGTTGTTAACTGAAAACTGGCCATTGTTTGTAGGTCACAACTAAGCTATTGTATTTGTATTTTCACTATGCTATGCTTTGGATTCGAGCTGCTCATAAATATTCAGAGGTCTTGGAGTGTTTAGTGTACCTCAAGCAGATTTGAACTGCTCTGAATAGATTGTGATTTCCTTGGGACAAGAAAGAACTACTGAAGCAGATGATGTTTGAAAATGGAACCCTTCCAGATATGGTTTCTTAACCTAGAACAGGGGTTGGCAAACTTTTGAGATGGAAAAGACAATCCTGTTTCTCACAACAATTTAAAAATTATTCAAGAGCCATAAATATATTTTTACAAATAATGAAAATTTAAAGTAATATTATTACAAGTAATAATATTAATTATACCTTTATTAAAATAAGAAAAATTCATACATGTATATACCTAAAGAGCCACATGTGGCTCGCGAGCTGCAGTTTGCCAACCCCTGACTGACCTAGAAAAACCACTATCTGAATCTTCTTACATGCAAAGCAACTTGATTTTTAAGATCAAATAGTTTATTTTTAATCTCATTAGAATCACAGTAGAGATTTCCAGAAATCAATTTTTATCTTAAAATCTTTTCTCTTAAAATTAAGCACACACACTATAGCACAGATTCAGATCTTTGGATAGTACATATTTGTGAAATGGATTGCCGTTCCACAATCTTACTTAATAATATCAGTCCTCATAATAATTTGTCAGAATTTCATGATAACTTTGCTGCTAGAGGTTGGTTCTAGTAATAATCTAAGCAGAGGACAATTATGTTCTACAACATAATAATAGACTTTTTAACATTTATAGTTTTTAATCAGAGGATTTTTAGGGGCATGTCACTAACCTCTACTGGTTAAAATAAATGGGATACATTTCAATGGTTCTTTACTGCTTCATCACCACATTGTTTTTTTAAGTGACTGACTGAGAAAGTGGATTCGAGTCTTCTTTTTAAAACAAATATATCTCTTCAGAAATACAACAGAGTATATTAAATGGACTTCTTTTTCTTTTTGTTAGATACTTGACAATGTAAAACGATTTTAGAACCAGAGGACAAAAGAGATGGGAAGTTGATTTGTTCTTCTTCACTCTGCTGTGCACTTTATATAACTACACGGGAAAACTATTAGAATAGACTTCTTAGATTCTAATTAATCATAAAATATAATTTTGTTTAAATTTTCACATAAAAAAAGAAATAAATACAAATTAACACCCCTGACCGTGTGCTGATGTTCAAATCCAAAGGATTAGTAAGAGGTTCCATGGGCTGGTCTAATGTGGAAGCGTAACTATGACCAAAAATTACAGTAAAAATTTTTGATATCTTTCAAATAAAGTAGTTCCCTATATAATAGTTTTAAGACTAGTTTGAGGAAAGGAAAAATAAGCAAGACAGAAAGTATCCTGAATATTTTCTTTTTTTCGGAATTGTACTCACAAGTTATCTAATAATAATGATGATAAGTTCTTAAAACTAGGTGCTGTTATGTGCCTACATTGTGCCAGGTGTTATATAAATTATTTCAAATTCTCATAACAACCCCATATGAGAGAGGGTTATTTTATACACGTGAGAAAACAGAGAGATTTGCCTGTTTTCACACAGCTAGTATGTGATAGAGCTGGGATTCCGACACTTAAGTGATAGTAGTTGGAATTTGTGCTTCACCTTGTTTCCTCTTTTTTCACTTCTCTTCAGTAAATGAGATTTTATGATAGCCGTGGACAGTGTACCAGTGGTCTGAGTGCAGAGATAGCAGCATATGACCTGAAAGATTAGGCTGATAACTGAAGTTGAAAATATGTAAAAGCATACAACAGTTGAACCACTTTACATCTATCTATTCCTGCAAAACACTGGTTCCCTGCCTTGAACCAGCAGCATCAGAATCAGAGGAAGCTTGTTAGGTGCAAAATCTTGGACCCTCTCATCCAAACTTACTGACTCAGGAGCTCTAGGAGAAGAGCCCAGCCATCTGTTTTAACAAGTCTTCCAGGTGATTCTGATATCTGTAAAGCCTAGGAACCAGATCTCTGTCTAAAGTAATACGGAATCACTAGTTTGGATCAACAGTATGCTTTCCCCCTATCTACACTTTATCGTATTGTCAGTCCTTTCCACTTGAATGCTCTCAACAAAAGAGTGGAAGTATACACCCAGGATGGACTAGGGAGGGCACCACCAGAAACATGGAAGTATCCTGTTTTGTCTTGTAAATTTATTTATTTTACTTTTGCCCTCTACTCCATAGCAAGTATATGTTTATTTTTGTATAAAATATATGTATGCTCTAGAAAAATTGTTTAGTAATAAATTGAGATGTGAAAAAAATACACCATGTTGTCAGGTAGCTTAAAGTGTATCTTGACACTTCAGTGTTGGAAGCTTCAGTCATTTTATAAGAATTAGTTACACTTATCAGTGTTCTTTTTTAAAAGGCAGTACAAAGCATGAATGAAAAATGTCAATTCATAAAAGTCACTTTTTTAATATACATGTCTCAGTTTTCCTAAAGAAAAATAATTTTTCTAAAGAAAAAGTTAATTATAGGGAGATTGTTAGAGAAAATTCAAAACCGAATATATATTACTACTCAGCCTCACAAACGTTAAAGTAGACTAACACTCAGTGTTTCTCAGTGTTTTTATTTGGCTTATAGAGTTAAAAAGAGTTTTAATAATATACATTTTATTCTTTCAGGTAGCTGAAAATGGGATAGATTCATATATGTCAGGTTTTTAAATATTTGATAAGTAGACTTATAAAAAGCAGATTTTATAAATCTCAGTGTAATAAATAGAAAAAAAATTTGTGTTTTTTATCACAGGTTGTACTTTATGATGCTGCTGAATGAGTATGTAATTTACAAGGTTTGGGAAAGGATAAGCAAAACAGAAAGGAATTAACACTGGATTTAGAAAGAAATAGAAATATTCATTCAATCAGCAAGCAATTATTGAATATTTTGGTTGAAGTCCACACATTATACAAACACATATGAATTTCATCTTGTATAGACAGGCATATATATATTTACAAAAAATTAATAGTTCCTTGCCTTCTGTTGCCTAAAGGCTTCCACTGACTTTGATTTCTACTCACTGTCATTCTTTATATATCTTTGTTTTAGCTTCTTCCTAACAGTCCTTTTCTCCACCCTTCAAGAACTTTTCAGTTCTGGAGCTTAAATAGCCAAGAGAGAAGATCTGAGTTTTGTTTTTTTTTAGTTTGTCACCATTGCCCGTTTAGCAGATCTTTGAAATTAAACCATTTGATACGTTCTTGGTCAGCCTGTATATAGGCTGAACTTGAGTCAGAGTCCAACCAGCTGTGATCAGGTAACAGGTTCATGTGGTGTGAACTAGGGATGTATGTAGTGGGAACTCCTTTGAATAAGGATGACCCTGACAGCCATTCTGTACCTCTCCAAAATATTTTAGATAGATAGATACATAAATTGATAGGTAGATAATACATATTATTTTAAACATATTCCTGATAAATATAACAAAACCAATTTACCATAGGCTAATTTGATATAAAAATAGTTAAGTTCCTACTGCATCTTATCAACATTAAAACAAAACAGCATTGATCGAAACGATGTTATTTGAGGACCTGCTGTACTTTAATTATCAGGCTCATGGAAAGGCCATTACCAATGTTTCCATCATCACATGCTGCTTCCTAAGCACATCCAGTTCCTATAAGAAGATGGTGATAAACTAGGTATCATGAAGGTTAATTAAAATCCTTTTGGTTTGTGGCAGAGGCTACCAGCTAAGGAAAATATGACCCCACTCATTTTTGTGTACTTATTTCATGAAGTCTGTAGTCGGGTTGTAATGGAACTTTTGAACAGAAATGTACTCTTCAAATAGTAAGCCACCTCACACATTTTAATTGTAGGTATTTATTTTATTAAGGGACATGATTTATGCAATTTGTAGTCTTTAGGTTTTTAATTAAATATGTTTCTTATTTTCAGAATTTATGCGAACTCCATGTGTGGATGCTGGGTTGATTTCCCCACTGGTGCAGCTGCTACATAGCAAAGACCAGGAAGTGCTGCTTCAAACGGGCAGGGCTCTAGGAAACATATGCTACGATAGCCGTAAGTGTTCAAATATCAGTGGTACACTTATAAACTTTTCTTTAAGAATTATCATTTTCACACTAATTCTCTTTTAGTGTTAGCACTGTCTTTTTTAAGCTAAGACACTAACATGGGCTGGTATGACTTAGCTCTGCTTATTTAGCAGAACCGATGGAAATTTGGGCCATAGTGTTCTTATCTAAGAAGTTATAGGAAATGAATTCTTTTCCTCTGCTATCTGAAAATTTTATTTTCCAAGGAAAGTAAGTCAATTTCTAAGAAATTGGGCTGTTAATTAAATATATATGTATATCTTTTCTATTAGGTTTTATTAAAGTACTATCTTTGAATGAGAACATAGTTTTTTAGAGTTTCTACGTCTGTCCAAATACATTTTTAATTACTTGCAATTCAGTGAAACCATTCATAAAAACCATTATCTTCTCAAAAGCTAGATTGGCCTACTGCATCTACATTGACGCCATTCCTATTTGTCATAATGTCATTGTCATCCTCACCACTTTCTATAATACACTGTTCTGCTAGGCAAAGAGAAAGCAAGAACTTGGATGTGGGTATATTACAAAAATTTTACATTTTCTACTTTTACTTCCCCATATATATGTAAGCAAAATACAGAAAAATCTTGAGAATGTTTAATTTAATTAGGCTTATCCTGATTTTCCTTAGATTTCTATTTTCTGAGCCTAAATCACATATTTTATATTTTACCTTTAAAGTCTCCTAGGAATTTAGTTCCATTTGTTTAACTAAGATAATTTATTGCTTATTTTCCCCATTGAGTTTATAACTCACATGGAAGTGAAATTATATTTTGTTATAAACACAGAAGACAAAGCCCTTTTATAATAGGCAGTGCTTCCAAAGTGATTTGTGGATTATAAGCCAGGTATGTAATAAGGTCATAAACATATTCATTTATGATAAAAGAAAAATAGAAAAAAGGTTGAAACTACACCTTTCACTTTTAATTTGTCTATAGCAGTAGTGGTAAGCCTAGCCTCATTTATTCTCCTCTCCTTCCTTTTTCTGGAACATTAACTATTATGTGTGAGGACATGGATGTCTTAATATGAATTTTAACTTGCAGTTTCCAGTGACCATTACTGCTTATAAACGTACCTATCTGTTTCTTCATTCCTGTTGTTTTTATCCTAGGGTGTTAGCTTTATTTACAGAATTCTGATGCTTTATGTTTATAACTTTCCATCACCATATTTAGGTTTTTATTGAACACCATAGCTTATAATGTTAGCTTTCAAGAATGAAATATTTAATGTATATTTTATATATATTGATTTAAACAATATATATCATAAAGACCTCTGCAGAGTGATTGTCAAAGGTTGATGGCAGGTACTGGGAGAGCGTTGCACATTACTGGTTTTCTTCGTCTCCTTTTTTCTGTGTTTATTGTTAGAACTTAAAGCTATCAAAAGTATCCTTTAATCCTTGTTCAGTTTAGTTTTTCTTGGATTACACGTTGTTTGAACATAGAAGATATTATCTGTTTTGTGTACCTTTGTCTTAGAGTTTCACGTAATATTGGTAAAATGGAAGAAACATCCATGGTGATCTATTATTTCATAGTGTTATGGTTTTTATGAGCACAGAATAATTTTATTTCCTGTGTACTCTAAAGAACCTTGAAGTTAGAGTAATAAACGTCTAGTTAATCTGATTATAATTTTGATGAAACTGCAGTCCATTATTATAGTGTTTATCATATCTATTTACTCTCTTCGTATGAGGTATACAATCTGTGGAGGTGCTTTAGGCTATGAAATTAACTTTTTTTCATTTATTTATAACCACTTCATTCTCATTTAATTCAATGGAAATGATAGTTAAGTGGAAAATTAAGCATACTGAATACAGGCTATTTTTTATAATTTTAAACCTTATTTAAAGAAAATGAAGTTAGTAGTCTTAAAAAAATGAATGAATATAGGAAGTGATGGATTACTGTAAATAATGTAATAAAATGTGTCCGTTGTGCCCTGGTGTCTTATGCATCTAACATCCATAAGACTGTATGACTTCTTACCCTTTTATTTGAATTTAAAGCTTGGTGAATTTCTTAGTGATTTCTCCAGAATAATTGTAGGAAACATACATCTATGTTTGAATTACAAGGATAACGTAAAAGTCTGTAAATGTGATGCTGTGCGGTTGATTTGCAAATTTACTTGAAATGCATTTCTCATTATTTTTTATGACAATTGGGAATTTGAAAGAACTCAGAAATTAGATTTCTCTTTTTAAAAAGTAATGGATGTCTTCTACTTTAATTAATTAACCTTCTTCACTCTCGAGAATGTAATGCTTCATTCTTAAAAGGATAATAGAAAAATGTACATGAGATAGTCTCGTAAATACAAGAAGTATTTTTCTTACAAATAACATGTTTTAAAATTCACATTTGTGTTTTATTAAACATACCAGTCGGAAAATCAGTTTATTACATTTTGTAAAAGTACTCCAAATGAATAATTTTTTTAGTGTGGATTTATTCAGAATGATACTAGACTTATAATAGTTAGTAAAGGCAATATATACAGAAAGTACTATAAAGAATTCACTACTAGAGATAAAAATTTCAGAAATGTGTGCATATATTACAGGTTTTTACTTTGACACTTAAAAAGTAAAATATTTGCTAGCATATTCATTTAAATCTGTGGAAATCTTTTGAAAAAAGTAGGTCAGATTTCAGTTGTACCCGCTTTGATAGTGCCATTTTAGGAACTCTTCCTAATGGGAGGAAACTGTCTTATATAATCCTAATGTCAGGTAACAGACTGATGTGATGTAACTGCTAAATGGGACGGAGTAAGGCTTTGTTGCTAATGAATGTGTTTAATCCCAGTCTTCCTCTTGCATAGAGAGATGAAACAAACCACTGAGGGGGAACATATTTCGTTTAAAATGCCTGGTCGTTTTTCTGTTCTTCCAGAGAGCCTTTAAGGCACTTCAGTTATGGATTTCCCTTTAGAAGTATCCAAACAGACTTCTGATACAAGCAACATTTTAAAACTCTTGCTCTGTATCTTTGCCCAAAGAACTTTTTCTGAGAAGTTTGACATCTTTTAGATTAAAGAAGAGGAAAAAAAATTGTATTTCAATTTGGAAAGAAATAGGCAAAGCTGTGATGGGATATGCTAGGGAATATGATTTTAAGTAAAGAAAAATAGTATTAAATTTCAGAAATGAATACCTTTGGCCTGTTTAATTCTCCTTATATGGTAATCTTTGTAGAATCCCTCTCTTTCAGTGATAGTTTTGTTTATATAGCTGTGCACATTTTAAATTGCTGATACATTAAATGACCTTAGTGTATTTAAGAGCTTCATGTTAAAGTCCCAACCATTATTTATAATTCATAGGGATAAAACAATGATGGGACACTGAGTTTTTTTCTGTTTACAGATGTTACTACTTGAGATTAGGAAATCATTGATATTGAATATACTGGTTAAGAGTTATGTAGTAGGGGCTAGAAGAAAATGATTACATGATGTTAAATACATGTGCCTTTGTATACATCAGAAAGAATAATATACAATTCAAGTTAATACATGTTAAAATTAAATAAACATGCCTCTTTATAGAAATAAAATTAATGCTTGTTCTTATATAATTAGTCCTGTTATTGGAAAGATGCATACTTAAAGAAACATGATATACTATCTTATGAAGTGTGATCAGAAAATATGGTGAATGTTTAAATAAAGATTACAGTAAAATACATTGTCCCTCGCTTCAAACACACTTATCCCGTCATTCTTGACACTTTCTGAAGCAGTTCTGGAAGTCCTCTTTCATGAGTGTCTTCAGTTGCACTGTCATGGCTGCCATGATGTCCTGAATCATTTTGACTTTGGGGAAGAACCAGAAGTAGCACGATGCCAGATCCAGTGAATAAGGTGGATGAGGACACACCGTAATGTTTTTATTTGACAGAAATTACCCTACCAGAAGCGATGTGTTACACAGAGCCTTTCCATTGTGATCAAAACATACGGTGAATGCTGCCTGCTGCCCAGTGCCATCCAACGGAAAGGCAGGAATCTTCAGTACAGGAAGTGGCGCATCGAACCTTAGTAACAGTGTGTGACAAGTTTCAACTTGTTTGGTGCAGTCAGTCAAGCATGAGTTATGGTTGACAGAAAGTGTATTTTAAAGTGTGCTGTAAACCATGGATCATGAACAATACATTAACATGAAATGGGCAAACGGTTTCATCCTCCATCATGACAACATTCCATGTCACATAGTGCTTCTGGTACAGCAATTTCTGTCAAATAAAAACATTAAGGGGCAGGCCAAGTGGCTCAGTTGGTTAAGAGCTCGCTCAAGAGTGCAAGCTCTGAGCAACAGCAGTTCGATTCCCAGCCCGAGCTGAGCTGCCAACAGGTGGCAGGATGGCTCAGATAAAAAACAAACAAACAAATAAAAACATTAAAGTGTGTCCTGATCCACCTTATTCACCAGAGCTGGCACCATGTGACTTCTGACTCTTCCCCAAAGTCAAAATGACCATGAAAGGTAAACGTTATGAGTGGATTCAGGACATCAAGGCAGCCACAACAGTGAAACTAAAGACAAGAAAGAGGACTTCCAGAACCGTTTCAGAAAGTGGCAAGAACAATAGGATGGATAAGTGTGTTTGAACTGGGGTGGAGGGTGGGGAGTGAGGGGGGTTGGAGCAGTATTTTGAGTGGGATTAATGGCAGTGGGTCTTTTACTGTAATAATTACAGTAAAATAATTACAGTAAAATTCACCATATTGTTTGATCACACCTTGTATATGATACAAAGAAAATTGGATTCTTGCTCACTGATGAATAAGTAAATATTCAAAATGAGGCGGTAATCAGGCTTGCCAAAGCCAGTGTTCATAAAGTGAAATAAATATTGCTTATTTCATTGACTTCAAGTGTAAATAGAAAGGATGCCCAAATACATGCATGGACCTATTTGTATATTAGTGATT